GGGCATTGCACCGATGTACGCTTTCTCAGCTGTTTAGCCCAAGTGTCTTAGCTCTAGCTAGGGACAAGGATCTATGGAGTGAGCGCTTCATCTTTCTAAAAATGAATAATTTAGTACAAGAACCTTCGATGAAATTAAGAAAGAAGGCACAACTCTAAATTAGAGTTTTCTTGCTTTCTAGTAATTGTTCCACCTACTCTTGTCTTTGGATTGCAGGACCTTCCAACTTTAGTTGGAGAATGTTCAGCCGGTTCATGCTATTATGAAAAAATAATTTTACTTCATTTGTCTTACAATAATAAATATTTTTTATTTAAATATTCATGCTATTTGAACAATAAAACATAAAATTATTATTGTCATGCACTGTTTATCCTCATGGGGATAGTAAATAGGGCTGGGTATGGTATGGTATGGTAACCGTACCACACTTAAATGATGGTAACCGTTTTAAGTGGTAATAAAAAAGAGTTACCACTTCTATACCAATTGATGATTTTTTGGTAATGGCTGCCAACCGTTTTTAATGGTAATGAAACTTGCTTTACCAATACCATACCATATTACCATCTTTAAACTTATTTTCTTCATTATCAATTAATTCAAGTCATTCAAAATTTAATCTTAAAAGCTCAAAATTATCTTAAAAACTCATTTTCTCCATACCGTTCTTCATCATCTTGAAGCATACAAATATATAATTATACAAAACATGCACACATTAAAAAAAAAAAGGAGAGAACTATCAACAATTGAAAACTTTGTAGAATAAAAAAAAAAGAGGAAAAAGTTTTGAATGAGTGGTAAATTTGGTAACCATATAGTAAAAATGGTAATAATCTCTAATACCAATACCGTATCACAGGTCTAAATGGTATTGCCATGTTACCATTAAAACTTACCATATGATAATTTACCATACTGTTTCCGTTGGCAATGGAACAGTATAATAGTAATTGTGGCATTTATGGTATAGTGCCTAGCCCTAATAGTAAAGAAGAAGAATATAAGT